AGTCCCTGAATCTTCAGCCAAAAAACCAATTCTCAAGCTCCTCTGTAAAGATCAAGATCGATATCTAAGCGAGCCGCAGAGCAGGAACAGCCACCGGAGAACCACCGAAAAGAAAACGGAAATCACCCCAAGCTCCTTCTCTCTTCTGCCCTTCTGCCCCGAATCTTCTCTCTACCGTTGCTGTTTCTGCATAAATCACAGAGAGCACAAGCTGGAAATTTCTGAGAGTTTTGTCCCTTTTGTGCGGCTGTTACAGAGAAGATATACAAGAAGTTTTCTGTGGTTTTGAGTAGAGAGAGTGGCTGTTTGGTTGTGATCAATGAAGATGATGAGATCAGAGATGATCGGCATGGTGGTGGGATCCAAGTCCGGGCCCGGAGTGACGGTTGGAGAAAAGATGACTTCAAGGACGACTGTTTTTTTTTTTGTGGCTACCGCCCTCCTTTTTTTGTAGGATCCCCTGAAAAATGTCTTTTGTGCGTAGGGGGTTTTGTTATTTCTTTTAGGCTGAGAATGGGCTAGACTTTGGTTGGGCTCCAATCAAGACCCAACCGCTCAAATTGATTTTTTTTTTTTTTCTTTTTCGTTGCTGATATTAGGTTATGCCTCTGTGTGCTCCCTCACCTTAATTAGAGGTTTAATTTGCCTGTTTCAGTTAATGAGACAAATTAAGGTGCATATATATTTTTCTTTTCTCATGTTATTTAAACATATATATGTTTCTTCACGTTATTAAAAAATAATTTAAAAAATTTAAATACAAATTAAGCATCCCATGAAATTAACTAATCTCTAATGCTGATAGAAATACAGAAATATATATTCGTTACCCTTATAGATCCACAGATACATTTTCTTTTTTTTAGACAGCAAAATATTCTTTACTAATGGAGTATACTCCTACCCATAAAACATTACACACACATTAATTAAGCCGGAAACACTTCTCCCCAGTCCACATATCAACAACAATAGTGTTTCCTGCTGCACAGACCACTCCAATGCTGGGGAGGATTAGAATTAGGGAATCAATGCCAACAAACTCTCATCATCAAACTTTAAAACCCAATTTATTAATAAACCAGCATTTATATATATATATCTTCGTCACCATTCAGTCTGAAGGCCTTCACAGGCGGAGGGTGAGGTCCATATTGGCAGAATCATCCGCATCAGTGGTAGTGGAGAGAGCATGAGCAGTCGAAACGCCCAGAAAGCTCCGAGGGACCGAGCTGGAAGCAAGGTTCGGGTCCTGCTGCGGCTGCGGTTGCGGCTGCGGCTGCGGCTGGATGGGCTCCGGCCACTTCTCAGCAAACACGGCTGCACCCACGGGGTGACACATGCCCGGACAGTGGGGAAATGGTATGGATGAGGTGGGTTGTTGCTGTGGATAAGCAGGGAACAGAGGAAGCAGGCGGTATTCCTGCAGGTTGTTGGCGGGAAAGTTTGGCCGAGCAGCAGCGGCTCGCTCGGCCCTGTGAGCTTTCTGATGGCCGCCGAGGGCTTGAGAGGTGTCAAACTCCCGAGGACAGTAGAGGCAAGGAAAACGTCGCGGAGATGAGGTGGAGGATGTAGCTGTTGCACGCTTGGTGGGTTTGGAGGCAGAAGGTTGGCTCTGGCTGTAGAATCTATGCACGAAGGGGTCTGCCATTGAAGTTGCAGGGAGGGGGAGAGGTGAAGTGGCGTTGGGGCAGGGGTGGGGGAAAGGCAGGGGTATTTATATTGGCCCACGGGGTGTGCAGTGCGCACACGATAGACCAGGTGCAACTTCACCTCATATAAACGCCCGCACAGGATTTCACCTCATATCCACCAAGATGATGACTTATGAAACGATAGACCAGGTGTAACTTCACCTCATATAAACGCCCGCACAGGATTTAACCTCATATCCACCAAGACGATGACTTATGACTTTCATAAGTCACCATCTTGGTGGATATGAGGTGAAATCCTGTGCGGGCGTTTATATGAGGTGAAGTTGCACCTGGTCTATCGTGTGCGCACTGCACACCCCGTGGGCCAAGATAAATACCCCTGCCTTTCCCCCACCCCTGCCCCAACGCCACTTCACCTCTCCCCCTCCCTGCAACTTCAATGGCAGACCCCTTCGTGCATAGATTCTACAGCCAGAGCCAACCTTCTGCCTCCAAACCCACCAAGCGTGCAACAGCTACATCCTCCACCTCATCTCCGCGACGTTTTCCTTGCCTCTACTGTCCTCGGGAGTTTGACACCTCTCAAGCCCTCGGCGGCCATCAGAAAGCTCACAGGGCCGAGCGAGCCGCTGCTGCTCGGCCAAACTTTCCCGCCAACAACCTGCAGGAATACCGCCTGCTTCCTCTGTTCCCTGCTTATCCACAGCAACAACCCACCTCATCCATACCATTTCCCCACTGTCCGGGCATGTGTCACCCCGTGGGTGCAGCCGTGTTTGCTGAGAAGTGGCCGGAGCCCATCCAGCCGCAGCCGCAGCCGCAACCGCAGCCGCAGCAGGACC